TAATCTTCGATCCGCCCCCCAGCAAAGGTTAACGCCAAATTGAGGCTGCATGTTGGTTGCTAGTGACAACAGAAACGATTCGCCAAAATGGCGGACATAGTAATGTTTTGGAGCTAGAAAAGTCAGCAAATATTGTCGGGGAAAGCTTTCCTTTTACAGACGACTACATTTTTTGGATAATTATTGTCAKCAAAATCTCAAGTGGTATGTTTTTATAATGAATTSTACGTTATTTGATGGATTTTCTCGCTTGGTCTGCCGAAGCACGAGGTACCGTCGAATATCAAAGYGAAACAGGTAAGCTACTTACATTTTGTACGACTTAAGAAAGTGTATTTATTTAGAAATCCTGATTTTTTCTTCTCTAGTTTTAAGCTTTTTTCGTTCATCCATTGGTGACGCTTACAAAGAAACTTCGACTAGTTTGAATACATATGTCTATAACTTAAGAATGATTTCTTTTCAGCTTAATGTGTTCGCTTTATTAACTGATTCAAGCTTCAATAAACGATATTATCATATAATTATCTATGAAATACCTATATTTCTCCATTTCTTAAAATTGATATTTTCACTAGAACATATAAATTCATAATTGTCCTATTTGAAAAGTGAGAAAAGAAGAAATTAGTGCCATYAGCACTCTAAGTCCATTTTATTGTTGATGTTTTGTTATCCAATTGCCAATGTATTCCACATAAGCTTTTACAGATTAAAAAAAAAAATTATGAAAAAAAATATATATACAAGATTAAATTATATTTAAGTTATTTACATAAATAGAATCTCAGAAATCATTTGTTATTATACTTTGAATTTATAGTGTACATTCATTATGCAATATTTACTAAATTGCAGTTCGTTTGAATTTTGTGTAAATTACATTATCCAAAAGCAAAGTTTTTTCAGACWTAAAATTTTATCTTCCATTTGTTGAGGAGAGCATCAGCATACTTTATCTGATTTAGATACTTGGATGCAGTAATGCTATTTTTCATATCTTGATATGAGGGAGCCATACAGTTATTATTTACAATGAATKCCTTTTCCCAGGTCTTCAGTCTTTGTTTGATAGMAGATTTTTCAGCTAAAACTTTCACTTGGATGATTGCTAGCATGTCTTCGTAGTTGTTGCTYACATATTTTTCATTTGGAGATTGTTTGAACTGTTTTCTTGATACGTCAAATTTCTTTACATCAGGTATTAAACCCAGAACGACCTCAACTGCTTTTYCTAGCTGTGTTTCAATCTYATTGGTCTTACTTTCTTTGTTTTCAGATGAACTGGGTTTGTTTTCACACAAGGATAATGTAGGATCTTTTGAAAATTCTTGATTAAGGTAAGGTGATTGATTGTTTAAATATATGTTTGTTATTAAGTTATTATGACCAGGATCATGTTCTTGTGGATGTGACTTTTCAAAATATGGAGATTCAATGTCAAGATTTGATGTTGGAACTGGAAGAACATCTTTGCCCAAATCTACATCTTCAAGATCTTCAGCAATTCCAATTACCTCTTCATTATACATGTCGTCATTATAATTACAATCATMATTAATAATGTCATTATGCCCTATTACTTCTTGGCATGGTGTATGTGGCTGGTCTTGATTCATTTCACATTCAATTTCTGGATCATTTCTGAGGAAACCTGTAGAATGCCGTATCACCTTGCCTTCTTTGTTTGCTTTGAAAAGGAAGTGAGCTGGCAACTTTGTCAAAGTGCCAAGGCATTCATTCCAACAGCCTAAAAGGTACTCTTCTTCTTTTTTAAAGGAGCTTGAGCGGAAGTGATGGAGTGTGAATCACTCTCAGACATTGAATCCATAAATTCCACTTCATTGATTTCTTCATGATATTTCCACCAAACTCCCATTCCTGGTAGAAGAAAGTCACTTATCCTCTCCATGTGGGCTTGCCACCACCTACTGTACTTCTCTCCTTCTAGAATATGACCTGGTATTCGCGTATTTACATGTAGAATTGCTTTCATTGATGATCCCAGTTTAGATATCTGATTTTGTTGTTTTGTGACAACATCTTTGCATGAGTGAAGCTTTTGTTCTGCTTGCAACCTGATGAGTGTGTTTGTGATGATGTGAGCAGGCCTGTTAGATGATGTTGATTTGGTTATTCCCTTCACAGCATTAAAGGTGCGCTCCTCATTTTCAGCATTTGATGAAGGACCAGATATTAATCTTAATTGTATGGGTTCATGGGAGACAAGATTGTGTAGATATTTACCATAAAATTTTCTTGCTGTCAGAGCAGTTGGCACTGAGCCAAATTCAATATTGCACATAAGAAAATGAAGAAAAGAGATGTTGTGGTATCTTAATATCATACGTGGANCACATGGCAGAGCTTCATATGAACCAATACCAAGGTTTGAAAGAGATTCTGTGGGACTGCAATAAAGAAGTGATGGAACTCTTTGAACACCTTGAAGTTCAGCAGTGAGCTCTTTCTCAAGGTCTGCCTTCAAAGTTTTTGTTGACCATGTGTCTCTTTTGCTAAGTTCTTCTAAAATTTCAGCCTTGGTCAAATCATGTAATGGCTTTGGCTTTTTTAGCAAGGAGTTTCTTCTTCCTATTCTCCCTTTTAGAATTTTTTTCTGCTTGTCTTCAAGAGAGACATGCTTGCATCTGAACACATGCTCCAGATCATCACTCATTACTGAGTGCATGCCACAAACAGAGCAGAAATAGTGACCTCCCTTCTGCTGGCCTGTCTCAAAGGCTACTGCTGGTCCATCCCCTTTAAAGAACCTCATTATATCAGTTATAGGTACTCCTGGCTCAATGTCTATGGTTGCTGATAGACTGGCCAAACATTCACAGCGTGTTTCTGTATAGCATAACTGATCTGCATCGCTGCTACTACACCTCCCAATGATGTAAATTTCAGGTTTTTCTACCTCTGTCTGGACATCAACAGTAATGCCATTCTTCTCATAGTATTCTTCTGGTGTTAGATGTATAGCAGGATCATATGCAGTAGCAACCATAAACACCAGGTGACCATGGTTAGCAACAGTTGAATGGTCATGCCAAACCAACAGATGTCTTTGCCTTTCCATTGTTTTTAGCTTATCTCTCATCTTTGTCAAACCATCTTCATCATTGAATTCATTTAACTTTTGAAGCCTTTCAACTACTTCTAATCTACTCATCTGCTCATAATATGAGTCATTGTGATGCCTGGTATACTTTCTATGTTTATTCAAAATTGTTTTCCTAATTTCGTCAAGGGGGATTTTTCTTCCTTCAATGATYAARTCTTTTGTTTGAACACTGCCATCTTTATTGAGAATCAACTTTTTGTATTTCTTTGGAACTATGAGTTCCCCAATGACAAATTCCCCCTTCATTATTTTGACTTTGAGCTCATCTTTCAACTCTTCATTTGTCTCAGGTGTTGGCAATGAAATCTCACCTAAAATGAAGAAAGACAATATAAAAAAAAATTAAACTCTGCTCTCTTCAGTTGATTAAACTAATATGAGTTGCATGTATCTTGTGTAGGATTTTATTACTTACCTCCCAAACCTCGGAGCTTCTTTCGACGGATTCTTCTTTCCTGGTTTTCTTGCTCATCATTTTTTCTTTTGAACCTGGCAACATCTACTCCTTCATTTATGAGATATTGTTTAGCTATTTGTCCTCCATTTCCTGGATATTTTCCCTTTTTATTCCTCACACCAAATTGTCTCGCTAAGTTACTCCAGTTAACTTGAATCTCTTCGCTATAGCTCTCAACTTCCATCTTAAGTCCTTCTTTATCCCAGACCAAGTCATTTATACTACCAGTGTGATCTTTCTTTTTTTGCTGCTTTTGAGTCTTGACAATCCGTTCTTCAGCTGCTTTTCTACTCTCAAATGACATTGCCAACCTTTCTTGTTGCCGAGCAGTAAAAGACTGCCTATTACCTAGACACCTAAAAATAAATGAAAAAAGCTAATGAATTAAATTTGAACCTGACTTAGTTAGTTCTTATTATTTAAATTTCTTTTATGCCCTTAACATATTACAATTTTTCATAATTTATAATAAATATATATATTTTTATTTGGGTATTATTTTCTTATGCACATGTTGTTGTTTTTTGGGGTTGCTTTTCACTTAAGTTTATATACTTTTAATTAAAATATAAAAAGATATTGAATATTAATTTTAAAATATATTTACCTAAGGAGGGAAGATTCTTTCCATTGCTGTTCGATATTTTCTTTGGTTTCTTTAATTAGCTGTCTCCTGACTTTTTTGGCTTCATACTTTGTTTGTTTCATTTTTAGGTTGGTTTCAGGGACTTTAGTAAGGGCTTCAGCAAATGGCACCCCACCAGATATGCTCTGAAATGCACTATTGATCGATTTATATAAACTTTGTGCAGTGTCCTTTATTTCAGACTTGTTCAGTTGAATTTGACCAGGATCATGTTCTTGTGGATGTGACTTTTCAAAATATGGAGATTCAATGTCAAGATTTGATGTTGGAACTGGAAGAACATCTTTGCCCAAATCTACATCTTCAAGATCTTCAGCAATTCCAATTACCTCTTCATTATACATGTCGTCATTATAATTACAATCATCATTAATAATGTCATTATGCCCTATTACTTCTTGGCATGGTGTATGTGGCTGGTCTTGATTCATTTCACATTCAATTTCTGGATCATTTCTGAGGAAACCTGTAGAATGCCGTATCACCTTGCCTTCTTTGTTTGCTTTGAAAAGGAAGTGAGCTGGCAACTTTGTCAAAGTGCCAAGGCATTCATTCCAACAGCCTAAAAGGTACTCTTCTTCTTTTTTAAAGGAGCTTGAGCGGAAGTGATGGAGTGTGAATCACTCTCAGACATTGAATCCATAAATTCCACTTCATTGATTTCTTCATGATATTTCCACCAAACTCCCATTCCTGGTAGAAGAAAGTCACTTATCCTCTCCATGTGGGCTTGCCACCACCTACTGTACTTCTCTCCTTCTAGAATATGACCTGGTATTCGCGTATTTACATGTAGAATTGCTTTCATTGATGATCCCAGTTTAGATATCTGATTTTGTTGTTTTGTGACAACATCTTTGCATGAGTGAAGCTTTTGTTCTGCTTGCAACCTGATGAGTGTGTTTGTGATGATGTGAGCAGGCCTGTTAGATGATGTTGATTTGGTTATTCCCTTCACAGCATTAAAGGTGCGCTCCTCATTTTCAGCATTTGATGAAGGACCAGATATTAATCTTAATTGTATGGGTTCATGGGAGACAAGATTGTGTAGATATTTACCATAAAATTTTCTTGCTGTCAGAGCAGTTGGCACTGAGCCAAATTCAATATTGCACATAAGAAAATGAAGAAAAGAGATGTTGTGGTATCTTAATATCATACGTGGACATCGATTGTAGTCAGGACTGTATAGTATCTGTTGCATCTCTACTAGAGTGTTCAGTAGTGTCTGAAGTGTTTCAGGTAGGATGCCTTTCAGTCGCTTTGCAAACAAGATTATTGCTTGCCGGTAATCAGTGGCTCTTTTTGTTTCTTTACAACCCAGGGTCAATTCCATGGTCTCATTAAATATAACCTTTTGCTCTGAATTTAAATGCTTGGGAAGTTCCTCTAATACATTGGAAATATGGTTGGAAA